AAATTATAAGACTTAAATCACGATTATCTTTAGCCGAAGAGTCGTTCTTTTAAAGCGCTTTTAATATCGAGTATCGAATTAAAACTTCGAGAAATTCGCTTCGCTTATAGCGCTAAGTATAAATTAATTTTTCGATTTATAAACGATATATTTTATCAAGGAACTCGATTAGCTTGCGATTAGTTTAATTATTGCTTTTAACTAGGCTGCTCCATGGGGCCCCATAGGGCCCTACGGAGTTTTGGGTCCTTCCCACGGGGGAACCTACGGGGGGTACAAAATTCTGCCCCTCCTTATAGGGAAACCTTATAGGGCGTAGGGTTACTCTATAAGGTTTATATACATAAAAATATGCATATGCATAATTACTAATCAGGTTTACTAATTATATTTACTAATTATATTTACTAATTACATTTACTAATCACATTTACTAATTACATTTACTAATCAAAGACTTAGAATATTAGTCAAATTTACTAGTTACAAAGGCCTAAGGGTTGGTAAAGACTCGTTCTTTAGCTTAAGTCTATTAGTTACAAAAAGTTAATAAAGACCCGTCTTTTTGCAATTACGTAAAATACGTTCAACTCGGTCTCCACCTTTGGCTTAAGCTTTTGCTTATAAGCATAATTCAGATAAATCTCGTTTAACTTAAATAGCTCTTCTAGCTTTTAGCACTTATTGCTTTATTTAAACTCATTTTTATCCGAGAACTTAAAGGTAAAGCGTTTGTATGCTAAGGTGCTATCGATAATAAAAGGGTATAGCATTAATAGCTCTTTTAAAATGCTTTTAACTTCGGCATGATCGCTATCGAAAAGCTTAAAAATAAGATTACTTAAGATCAATCGAACCTTAATATCTTTATAAGTGAATTGCTTTCTAATTAGGTTAAAGAAAGAAACAAAGTGGTCGAGGAGACAAAAGACTTAAGCGCTTTCTTTTTAAATAAAAAATCAATTAATGATTATAAAATATAAATGTTATTATTAACCTTATTAGCACCGTAATGCTTGATGCCGAACTTATCGACAAAACCTTTACGACTTTTCTATTCGTAATCGAGGCCGATTGGTCTTAGAAACAAAGCGGTATCCTTCTTATCATAGCAAGTAAACATTAAATTAACAACGTTACTATTAGCATAAACGATTACGAAATCCTTATAGCGATTAAGTATTTCGTTAATTAGCTTGTTGCTACCGGTGCTAAAAGGGTTAACCTCGATTATAGCGTTATAAAAAAAAGGAATCGACATTGCTAAATAAAGAAAATAATTAGCTTGAAGCAAAGAATCAAAAAGCAAAAAATCAAAAGGAAAATAATTACTTAAATTAAGTGTAGTTGTAATTAAATGTTGAGGTTAGTTGAAAAGTTAAGTATTAAAGTTGAGAAGTTAAGTGTTAAAGTTAAGGTTAAGAAGTTAAGTGTTAAGGTTAAGAAGTTGAAGTTAGGTATTAAGGTTAAAATTAAGAAGTTGAATAAAAAGTAGTTATAATGATAATAAAAAAAAGAAAAAGAAAAAGAAAAAGAGCGAGTATTTATATAAAAATAAAAGTGTAGCTTAATCGTAATCGAAGCATTGCTTCGATTCATTAAAAGTGAATTATAATATTTAAAATAATGAATCGACGCGAAACAAAAAAAATAACGCGTTTTAAAATAATAAATCGACGCGGAATAAAGAAAATAACGCGTCGCTTAATAATAATCGCAATGCTTCGATTTAATAAAAGTGAATTATAATATTTAAAACACGAATTCGACGCGGAACAAAAAAGGAACGCTTCGCTTAATAAATCTGATTAATAAATCTAATTAGTAAATCTAATTAGTAAATCTAATTAATAAATGTTGTACGAAAAAAAACCTTGCATGCTGCACGTCCTTTTGCTATACGTGCTTAGCTCGGCTATAGCTTGGCTATAGCTCGGCTATAGCACGTGCTTTACCGTACGTAATCTGATTAGTAAATCTAATTAATAAATCTGATTAATAAATGCTGCATAAAAAAGAATTTAACGT